GTTTGTAGAGTTGTGTTTACAAATGCAAAAATATGATAAGGGAAATAGTTTCTTTTAATGAGCCTCTAGCCTTTCCGAGCTTAACAGAAATGTTTACATTTCAAAGAAGAGATGTAACACAGTAACAGCTAGCAAGGGGTGGGAAGAAAGGGGAGAAGAAGCTCTCCCCTTTTCAGGCAATGTCCTTGAAGGGTTAATTTGCCTAGAATGGTGAAAGAAAAAGCTGCCTTTGTGTGAACTTCTGTAGATTGTGAACTTCTGAGCCCTTCCCCTTACACACTGGGTATAAAGTTCTGAAATTCCCTGAACTTGGGGTTCAGGGCTATTGATTATAGCGAGAGCTTTGCCCTCTGAACTTGGCTGCAGCCAAATAAATCTGTTTTTTGCTGTCTTTGGTGTCTTGCCTCATCTGTCCCCTAAAAATTGAAGTGGCTATCAAAAGCTTCCCAACAAAGAAAAGCTCAAGATTGATGGATTCTCAGCTGAATTCTACCAGACCTTTAAAGAAGAACTAATACCAATCCTCAAATTATTCCATGAAATAGAAAAGAATGGAACTCTGCCAAACCCATTCTATGAACCCAATATCACCGTGATGCCAAAACCAGACAAAGACACATCAAGGAAAGAAAATTTTAAACCAATAGCCTGGATGAACATAGATGCAAAAATTCTTAATAAAATATTTTCAATCCACATACAAGATGACATTAAAAACAGTGCATCATGATCAAGTGGGTTTCATTTCAGGGATGCAAGGTTGCTTCAATAAATAGAAATTAATAAATGAAAGAGTCAAGGTCAAGAATCACATAATGATCTCAGTAGATGCAGAAAAAGCATTTGACAAAGTACAGCACTTATTAATGTTTAAAACACTAGAAAAACTAGGGATAGAGGGATTTACCTCAACATTTGTAAAGTCTATATAAGACAAACCCCAAGGCCAACATAGTACTGAATGGAAAAAAACTTAAAAAAGCTTTTCCTTTAAAAACAGGAACAGGACAGGGATGCCCATTTCCACCAATCCCATTCACGTAGTCCTTGAAACTCTAGCCAGAGCAATCAGGCAAGAGAAGGAAATTAAAGGGGTACAAATAGGAAAAGAACTCAAATCATCTCTATTTGTTGATGATATGATCATATATTTAGAAGACACCTCTCCCTCCAAAAAAACAAAAAACAAAAAAACCTTCACCCGAAGACTTCTGAGACTAATAAATGTATTCAGGAAAGTAGTAGGGTACAAAATCATTACTCATAAATCAATCGTGTTCCTATACTTAAATGATGAATCTGCTGAAGAAGAAATTAGGACAACTATCCCATTCACAGTAGCCTCAAAAAAAGGGGAATCAATAAAATAAAAAAAAGGTGAAGAGCCTCTACAATGGAAAGTATAGAACACTAAAGAAAGAAATTGAAGAAGGTCTTAATAGATGGAAAGACCTCCTATGTTCTTGGAGAGGCAGAATTAATATTGTCAAAATGGTCAGATTACCAAAAGCACTATGCAGATTTAATGCAATCCTGGTCTGGATTCCAGTGATATTCTTCATAGAACTGGAAAAAAACAGTTCTGAAATTCATTTGGAAAAATAAGAAACCCAGAATAGGCAAAGTAGTCTTTGGAAAAGCAAAGCAGGAGTCATCTCAATACTGGACCTTAAACGATACTACAAACTATAGTAACAAAAACAACATGGTACTGACAAGAAAATACACATGAAGAACAATGAAATAGAGCAGAAAACATGGAAATAAATCCACATAAAAATGTATGTTGGAGAAAAGGTAGCCTTTTATACAAATGGTGCTAGGAAAACTGGAAATCCCTATGTAGAAGAATGAAATTTGACTCCTCTCTCTCACCTTTCAAAGACCTAGGAATTATACCAAAAACCCTGTAACTGCTAGAAGAAAATGTAGGTCCAACTCTCCAACATGTTGGTACAGGAACTAGCTTCCTTAAGAAGACTACCAAAGAGCAAGAAGTAAAGTAAAAAAATAAGGGGGGGCTGGGAATGTGGCTCAAGCGGTAGCGCGCTCACCTGGCATGTGTGAGGCCTGGGTTCAATCCTCAACACCACATACAAAGATGATGTGTTCGACGAAAACTAAAAAATAAATAAATATTAAAAAAATTCTCTCTCTCTCTCTCTCTCTCTCTCTCTCTA